TAAAATCTTGGGGTAAAGCGGCTCCGCCAGTATGACTTTCGGGCCAGACACGCGCAATGGTCCGCTTTCCGCGGCGGTAAACGGCCACGATGGTTAGACCTGTTTCGTGTGCGCATGACACGTCATCCGGACTAGCTGGCATGACCTGTTTGGTGGGGATGATCGGCAAAAATCAGATCTGAAGCCAACAGTACCCTAGGCTTCCAACAACCATTGTTTTAATGGCCTGAATCCCGAACCACCATTGTTTTACTAAGGATTTTACACTACGCAACCAGGTCGTTCCCGAACTCTTTCAATGATCGAACGGAAGCCGAAGGAAGGGAGTAACCGGAAGATCATGGAAGTGGAGTTGACTCCCTAGGACCGCAAAAGGCGGAAAGTCATCTGGCCACCTCGGGATCCGGCCATCGAAAACCAGGCCATCCACAGGTTCCATGTGTTGGTCCGAGAGTATGTCTTCAGTGTTTTCATCAAGTCATTGCCCTTCCGCAAGCACGATCTTGAAGCTTCAAGACGAGTTGTGCGGAGTTGTCATCATGCAGAGGTTGTGTGTACCGCAGTTACGATTCTTATTCTCAGAAACAGGAAGGTGGAGAATCATGTTCTTTCGCACCTCTCAAGAATCACAGGAGTGCCATATTATCACAGGAGTGTCATAGGAGTCGCCTCCTGGGCGTGAGTCACGAAGTGAATTCGAATGTGCATGACAGGAAAAAACGTGCAACACTTCACCGTTCGAACGACGACATCCCGATCCTCTATTTTTGGCGGTCATCGCTTTTTGATACTGTTTGATTCTTTTTGTGGGGAATCACCATCAAACTGAGGATGTTCTGACCGCAACAGAGGTCGAACTATCGCCTTTCGTTGATGTTGTTGACTCTGTTGATTGTAAGGATGGGAAAAGGAAACTCAGAATCGAAGGAAAACAGAGAGCACGTGCAGCGTCTGAAGAGATGTTCCTCCAAAAACACCCCATGGATCATCAGAACACCCGCAGCTGTTGGGAACGAAGGTCCTCTTCTGCGCGCATCCTGACCCCTTCGGCCAAACTCACCTGGGCCGGTCCGACCGGGTGCTTGCCATGGTTTCTGGCCGGTCACCGAACCAGAAAGTCAAGGTGCGGAACAGGGCCGGAACAGGGCCCGTCACTGGGTCGAAAGCAGATCTAGATTTACACCTGGGAGTAAGTAGATGGAACCTGATGGCATCGACCGAACTGGACAAGGATCTTCCGAAAACCAACCCCGTGGTTGATGTGCAAGGTCGTAGCTGAGAGGCTGTTTAGACCGACTGAGTAACGAAAACAAACAGATCCAGAAAAATAGACATATATTGGAGCTTACCAGATAGATACGTTCACTACGTTGACATACGTTGACATGTTTTTGACGTCAAACATTCAAGCTGAATCACTGTCGATGCACCTAGAACACATCCAGCGAGTTGCGTATCCAAACACTGCATGTGTCGTATATATGCAGAGATTGACCACTTTTTTTTCACCCCAACTGATCGGCATTCCAGCCCCACATTCCATGTCTGGGATATCCAACAAGCATTCATAAAGAAATCTTCATCTTCTTCTCACCCTCGACTGATTGGTGCTTAGTAGGGAATATGGGAATGGATCCAGAGGGGCCAAAAAAGTGGTGGTTCATTCCCTCATTCCCTACTAAGCCCGCAGCACGAGTCTGTTGATTGCTTCTGTCTTTCCGTATCGAAACCAGGCGGTTTCACCGGGTCCAATTCCTCCGGTCACCGGTCTCCGGTCACCGGGCGCCTTCCTCGGTCTGTCCACGACCGCCCTTTGGGCGGCTGGGGTGGTAGATCCCAGACACGACCCGTTTGGGACTGCCATAGGACTATATATACATATAAATTATATGCTTACATTGGGGTGGTGCCAGGGGATATATATATATGCCGAGAAACAGCCAGGGGTGGTGGGTTTGGGGGGTCTGGCTTGATCGGCAGTCCGGACTGGCAGTCCCATTAGTCGTGTCTGGGTACATTCCAGCCCCATGGAACGTGGTGTTTGAGATAGACTTAGTAGGATGGCGACCATGCGAGGTGTGATCATCCTCCATACCTTCCGTTTCGATTTGGCTAAGATGCTGGAGATGTTGTGAACTGCCCTATCACCGTGGTTGGGGGGAAGACACTTCCTTCATCTTCCTCCCCACCTCAGTAACATCTTTGTTTGTAAACTCGAGGAGCAAGTTCTTTTCCTCAGGGGGGAGGTCTATGTCAAAATACATCACACACCATAAAAAGAAAGGCCGACCAGGTTGTTGCAGTGTAGAATTGGTCGGCAAACCATGCTTCTGCAGGATTCAGACCCTGAAATCAACGCTGGGCCACCACTCCCAGGGTCAGAAAAAGATTCGCATTCTGCTCCGTCTTCGCTCTGACTTCTTCTTGCGCCTTCTTGCGCCTTCTTCGACAACGCTCTCGCGAGACTCTTCTGGAGATCAAAGACGCTGCGAACGCCTTGCTGGAGGAGGGCCACGCGCAGGACCGGACGGGGACCACGTTCGTCGTCGCTCACCGGTCGATCTGCTCGGCCGAGCCGAGCGGCGTCGGACGTCGGGTGATGCGCGCGCGGGGGCTGAGGCGAAGTGACCTGAACTAGGACCCGATTGGGGTACCGAAGCTGAGATGGTTGAAGGTGAAGGAGTCCTTCAACCTCTGTTGGAAGGACCTGCGTTTAGAGTTGCAGGATCAGCAGTCGGTGAGGAGTTTGAGGAGTTTGATTGATGGGAATGGTCCAAGGTCCTTGGAGTCCAAAGACGATCGTTCTTCTGAGTGAAGTAAAGGAACTTCCCTGAGTTTCAGGTCACTTAAACACTAGTTGACAAATACCAACATGGACCTTGAGAAGGGCACTCTGAAAGACGGTTTCCTTCACAAACCAGTGCTTTTCAGGGTCCACCTTAGCCTTCGGCGCGGTAGGTCATGCTGAAGATCCGTGATTCAATCGACGGGACATATTCAGTGTCCCGTTGAGTAGATCGCACAGCGTAGGATGTTATACGTATATAGTGCAACTATAGTGGCTTCTAGATCGAGTCTCAGCTTGTACCTTGGAAAATGGGTACAGTCGTCCCTGCTTTGACCAAGTACTTGTTTTGATAGGGTCATGTGCCATTTTCCAAGGTACTTGAAGTTCAGAACCCAAACGTCCAGAAAACTCCAATCATGTGCTGTACATTCTAATGCCGCCTTTCAGCTTTAGCACAATCATTTTGGAGTTTGGATTCTCTGAATCAGCTGCAGAGGAAGGGGGGGTAACATTTCCCAAAGTCAAGGGGTTATTCACCCAAGGTGGGAGGTTCGGTGAACCTTTACAGGGCCCACCAAAACACCAGGACACCTAAAGAAAACAATGTTGATTATTTTCTGGCTAATACACAGACCTTCTTTTCAAATTCATACCAAGTGACAGGTTGCGGAATTGACGCTCGCTGGTTGTGCGAACTGACCTCCGCTTGCCTAGAATCTGTTGAGTATTGGGGCTGGCACGCGTGTCTTCACAGACATCAAAGCAACTGCAGATCATATGAGCATCCAATGTGTATATATAGTATATAATATGTACACATATTGCTTAAATCAACAGTTTGCATATGTATATGCCTGGGAAACTGAAAGGAATGGTCTGAGGAACGGGGATTGAAAGGGAGCTTCCTAGAGGCCCCATCAAAACACCAGCGCCCCCCAAAGAAGACAACTTTTTCCCTTTGGTGCGCTTGCTCATGGCGCCGACTGTTTGCATGGCGCTGGCAGTGGCGCTGGCTTGATTGTTTTGCTTTGGCACCCTTGCTCCAGGCGAGGGTGCCGGATGGTGTGGGCAAGCAATTGCAAAGAGCGATGCTGATCCCTGAGTCTTTTTAGGGCTATAACTTCCGGGGCCCGGCTGGAGGGGCCTACTCTGGAAGGCTCTGAGTGTTAGAAGACCTTCTGTGAACCAGGAGATGGTTAAAGGGTTCTGCGACTGCGAGCCGAATTGGGGTCTCCCTTCAGTCAATCCAGGACATGATTTCTAAGAAGCAGGGGCCCCACGCGAACCAGAGTGTTTTAGATGCTGGCACACCCATACATCAATTAGAGTTGTCCCCACACTCCACCCCGTCAACGTTCGGCCAAACATTATTTGTGGATTGCAATATATCGCCCCAGCGACGCAAATTCAAATGCCAAGCGTTTGGATTCCCAGCTCTGCGCGGGAAAGCCACGTGGCAGTCTTTCTTCCCTTGCACGCTCAGCTTGGAACTCACGAGTCGGCCACACTTGCTCACTTCGATCTCACTCTTAGTCAACCCTCCACTTGTTTGCTTCAAAGATCCCTTCCACACGTTCTTCGGTGACGCCATCCAGTAAGACACGACAAGAACACAGGTGAACCGTCCAGTAGTGTTGCCATGAGTATCGTTTGGTTCCTCATCCACCTGCTTTTTCCCAGGCGACTGTGTGGCGCAAGCGCTTCTAGGGGAGAAGAAGTGCGCAGAGGCGTGTCAGCTGGTTTCTCAGCCAGCTGCTTTTCTCCTGGTCATTGTGTGGCGTGTGGCACAAGCGCTGCTTGGGCCAGGGGAGAAGAAGCGCGCAGAGGCATGTGTAGCACAGTTTTTCACGGAATGCAACCTGGGCAGATGGTTTTGTTTTCCCTGTAGCTAGGGGCTTCGGGAATGTTTTTTGCCATTGGTTTCCACCATGACCATGAGATCACACATAGGTGAAGCATCAAATCTTTTTGCAAGGCCAGTCCACCTTTTCTTCGCCCACGCAGCTGCTTCTCTCCAGGCCGGCATGGAGCAAAGCGCCTCTATTGCAGAAGCAGCGTGCAGAGGCATGTGTTTCCACGGGCCTTTCATGGTCTCGGCGGTGTTTTGCCTTGGTTTCCGCAAAAACTGCGCAGGTGACGCAGGAAGGTCTTCACAAGGCCAGTCCACCTTTTCTTCACCCACGCAGCTGCTTTCTTCCA